CCCCAAAACCCCAAAACCCCAAAACCCCAAAACCCCTAGATAAAGATTTCAAATTGGAAAACTAAAATATTATATAAAAAGATGGAATCTCAATGAATATGAATACCTCAAAGAATCCTTACTTTATTCTTTTTCTACACAATTGTGCTTCCAAGCATGAGCTTCCAGTGGTTAAAATATGATATGAATTACATCGATGAGTACCCTGATGTGTACTGTCAATCGACTACAGCACCATGTGATTTTATTCCTCAAACTCCACATAAGAAGCGAGGACATTCTGCAATAGTGTTTAAGAGCTATTCAGTTGAGGATATGCATAATTTATGTCCAGGAGACCAATGTGGGCCTTACTGCAACTACACCGATCCTTCCTGAGTAATTAATGGGCTGAATCCCACTGATGGCACGGCTGGTGGAAGAGGAGACCTCCCTACACCTTCTGGTGCTACAACTGGTCTGAACATTTCAAATACTAATTGTCCTGACCAGTGCTGAACAACTGAGAACTGATACAGAACACTTAATAATAATGGTAATCAGGTTGAAAACAGTGAAGAGATAATGCTTGTTTTTGGAGGAGCTACTTATCGAGAGAAAACTTTTAACGGAGGATTACTATTTAATACTTGTGAGGAAGAGAGTTTGGATAGCAAACCAGACGATCGGAAGAGTTGCTCTGAAGAAATCCTTAATGAGCTCTGGATGTATTATATTGTGAAGAATGAGTGGGTTTTTGTTAAGCCAGATTATCACAAGATTGATTATTCAAGCTGGACAGCTCCTTCAGCAAGATATGCTCATGCAGCTACTTATATTGAAATTACACTTCTCGAGGCTCCTCCTAACGTTATTGTCAAGAGGAAATACATGTACATTTATGGAGGATTCAGCTACGACTGAGCTACAGCATGAGAAGATCTATGGAGATATGAAATTCCCTTCGCTGTTCAGAGATATTATCCAAACTACTCATCATCATGGTGGAATAGGGGAAATCACTGGAAATTAGTCAAGGAGGACCCAGATAACTCTCCTGGAAAAAGATGGAACCATGCCATGGTCTCCGATTATGCGCTAGAAAATATATACCTCTTCGGAGGTATAGTGTCTGACTTGGATAAAGAAAATGTGTATAAGAATGATATGTGGAAGTATTATACTGTCTCTGATAAATGGGAACAGATTATTCCCTTCGGAATCAATTCTATCTCCAGAAGGGTACATCTTTGGGATGGTACCTTTTAAGGACAGGAGTGTCTTGGACGAAACTCCAGATAAATTTTATACGAAAGATGGAGATGTGCTGAATTATCTGCCTTCAAACACTGATTCATCAAATTATGTTAAATTACCAGAGGTAAGAGCGGGCCATTCTATGAATTTAATTGGAAATCCGCCCTACTACATTCTTATCTCAGGAGGATTTAATGTTGTTACAGAAACAAGCAGTGGAACGGTAAGTGAGCCCTCTCAGCTTATAGAGTTACATAGTCAGGAAGAACCTTGATGACCTTTGGAGCTTCTCTCTATTCTCAAATAAATGGCACCAAGTGTATGTAAACAGTCAGACTAACCCGATTGCAAGGGAAGGAAATAGGATGATCACTGTGAATCTGGAACGACTCGCTATCATGTTCGGTGGGTTTCAATCAGACACTATTTATGATGAAGCATGGTACTATAATCTATTCACGAACATGTGGCAGAAATTGGAGCCTGAGGTAGACTCTTCGGTGTCAAATTCAGTAAACCCTCCACCTCTCACTGGGCATTCTTTGGTTAGCTCAGACTATGGTGTAATTCTGTATGGAGGGAGAACCTGGTATAGCACTAATATGAGCCGGATTGGGACAGGGGGAGCTAGTGCGACGACTGAAAGGTCTACTAAGTACAATCTTGATGTCTATATTTTCCCATTGTTGAACTGTAAGAATGACTGTAATGGTAGAGGAACTTGTAGTTTTGGCCGTTGCACATGCTCAGGACAGTATTATGGCAGTGAGTGCCAGTATGTTAAGTGACCAAATTCGTTGTGATTCGTAGATATTGATACTGTGGATCCTCAAGAGTGATATCATTGATCAATGCATGGAACTTGATTAGGAAATGGCACTTGCCAATGTGACTCAGGGTATACTGGAGATGACTGTTCTATCAAAGACTGAATTAGCAGTTGCTCAGGTAATACATGACAAGAAGCCTCTCCGATCAGCCAGTGAATATGTGAAGAGAGTGAGCATCGAGGGGCTGATGACTGAAGTTTCAAGTTTTGACTCAATAATTGTGACTCCAGCAACCCTGATGGTGGAGATCATGGAACTTGTACAAATGGAGAGTGTACATGAATATCACCTTATGTTGGCGTAGACTGTTCGATTTATTCCTACGATGCAAGTATTCAGGGTGGATTTGAATCGGCTAAGGAAATTACGTAATTTTCTTATATTGGAGGTATTTATAACACTCAATCTGTGTAAAATATCTTGGGGTTTTGGGGTTTTGGGGTTTTGGGGTTTTGGGG